GCCAGGTGCAGGGTCTGCTGGCTGGGTGCTGGCAGGCTTGCACCTGGCACGGGCACCGTAGCCAGCCCGTGCCCCTTTAAGGAGTCCGGGACTGGGAGGGAGGCAATAGAATTTCCCTGGTGTTGGCCAAAGTGGCCACCAGGGAAAGCTGGGGAGGACTAGTCTCCCCCTAGTTCGAATTAAGGGTCTACACAGCCCTTAATTCGAACTAGTAAGTTCGAACTAGGCTTAGTCCTCCTACAATGAGGTTTACCTAGTTCGAGCTAAGCGCTCCGCTAGTTCGAATTAAGTTCGAACTAGCGGAGCGCTAGTGTAGCACCTATCAAAGTTAATTCGAACTAATGTCCGTTAGTTCAAATTAACTTTGTAGTGTAGACATACCCTGAGAAAACAAATCATTGTTTTAAGAATTCAAGCCCTGAAACTTCACTGTGTCTCTGTTCAAGGCTGAGTTGATAACACTCTTGGCTTGTTTTCAGATCCAAGGTTGTGTGTGAGTGCAGACTACCTGTCTGTTCAGGAGGGGTGTGGGGCCACTGTCCCCTCCCCCCCTCCTTGAGTGAGCCTGTAAAGTTGAATATGATTCTTTTCAGGAAAAGAAAAGCTTTTTGCTTGCTGGAACAGTAACTGGCCAACACCTTGTGCTAAGGAAAAACATTATAGCTTCACACATTAAACCTGATCTGTGGTTTTCTTCCACAATCCTCAGCCATGAAGACTGAAGCAAAGAATTCATTTAGTTTCTCCGCAATGAGTTTATCGTCTTTAAGTGCTCCTTTTGTATCTGGATGGTCCAGGGGCCCCACTGGTTGTTTAGCAGGCTTCCTGCTTCTGGTGTACTTAAACATTTTGTTATTACCTTTTGAGTTTTTGGCTAGCTGTTCTTCAAACTCCTTTTTGGCTTTTCTTATTACATTTTTACACCTAATTTTGCAGTGTTTATGCTCCTTTCTATTTACCTCGCTAGGATTTGACTTCCACTTTTTAAAACATGTCTTTTATCTCTCACGCCAGCCTACAGGGGAGCTGGAGGAGAAGGCAGCAGTGGGGTGAGGGAGTTTGCCCCTGGTGCCCCCGAGAGCCACTTTGGCTCCCTGCCCGCTTCCACTATGCGGCAAAGGGACCCCGTTCAGAGCTGCGGGATTGAGGATCCGCCAACCTCAGTCCTCTCTGTCCCTTCCCCTCACCTCATGGGGCTGAAGCACCAGAGGAGTGAGGTGTCTCAGTTGGGGCCCTCATCAGTGAGGGTTGGGGGGTTTGGGGGAGTTTTTTTCCCTTCTCACTTGTGTGGTCCCCAACTGATTTTTCTTCCAAGAAAGGTTTCCCACCCCTTCCGTAAAACATTGAAACTTTTGTGTTGGGCATAAATTAATATTTTACTTAGTTTATCAAACTTCATTTTAAATAAACATGAGAGAGTTACAATGCTTAATCTGTTTAATAATGTAAACTAAACCATTCTCCCTAATTGAAGCACTAGTAAAATGGCTCAGGCATAATTATGTAATTAATGGTGAGTTTCCATTAGCAGCTGGTGGTCCATGGCAGTGTTTTCATTCAGCCACGTGGTCCACGGGCCAAAAAGTTTGATAACTACTGGTCTAGATCATCCCTATCCAAACTGCTTTTAAATATCTCCAGTGATGGATATTCCACAACCACGCTAGGCAGTTTATTCCAGTGTTTAACCACCCTGACAGTTAGGAAGTTTTTCCTAACGTCCAACCTTAACCTCCCTTGCTGCAGTTTAAGACCATTGCTTCCTGTTCCTATCATCAGAGGCCAAGGAGAACAATTTTTCTCCCTCCTCCTTGTAACACCCTTTTATGTACTTGAAAACTGCTATCCTGTCCCCTCTCAGTCCTCTCTTTTTCTAAACTAAACAAGTCCAATTCTTTCAGTCTTCCCTCATAGGTCGTGTTTTCTAGACCTTTAATCATTTTTGTTGCTCTTCTCTGGACCTTCTCCAATTTCTCCACATTTCTTGAAATGTGGTACCCAGAACTGGACACAATACTCCAATTGAGGCCTAATCAGTGCAGAGTAGAGCAGAAGAATGACTTCTCGTGTCTTGCTCCCAATACTCCTGTTAATGCATCCCAGAATCATGTTTGCTTTTTTTGCAACAGTGTCACATTGTTGAGTCATATTTAGTTTGTGGTCCGCTATGACCCCTAGATCCCTTTCTTGTAGTACTCCTTCCTGGACAATAACTTCCCATTCTGTATGTGTGAAACTGATTGTTCCTTCCTAAGTGGAGTACTTTTGTATCTGATGAAGTAAAGGATGCCAAGTACTATTCCATAATAGTCGATTCAACACCAGATGTGAGTCATGTAGACCAATTAACATTAATTTTAAATGTGTGACCAGCCATGGTGAAGTTGTAGAGCGATTTCTTTGTTTTGTCCCACTATAAAATCCCACACTTCTGAATGTCTAGAGACAATGGTTTTGGAAATGATTGCAAATTTAGCTTTGAATATAAAAAATTGTCCTGGGCAGAGCTTTGATAATGCTGCAAATATAGCAGGAAAATATTCAGGTTCACAGGCAAGACTGACCAATGCAAATCGTTCTACTTTATTCATATAATGTTCCAGCCATTGCTTTAGTTCAATATGCAACGCTGCAGCCACATCTTGTAGGGAGTGACAATTTTTTTTTTAAACTTCGTTCAAAACATATATGCTTTTTTTTCGGTTTTCACACATCGGTACAGTATGCTACAATCATGCTTGGAGCAGGTAAATGGAAAACATTTGACAGTCAAAAGAATGTGTGACAGCAGGTGGTCTGCCCCTGCATATGCTGTTGTTAGACAATTGTTAGCCTGAGTTGACAGGTTTTGTCATGAAACGTTGAAATGACTATAGAGCCGTGGAAGCAGAGGCCCTAACATTAACAGCAAACGTAGGTTCATCTGATGAGAAGTGTTATTTGTGACAATAATAGTGCAATTGCAGAGTAGGAGGTGAATCTCTATAAAGAAAACTGTTGATTTATTTTGCATGTTTTTTAACAGAAGTGTCAATGAAGGTTCTAAAGGCTACTACAGTAGGAAATTAAGTGAATTCCACATGGACACACACCTTTTTGAAGATGAAGTGAAACATTTCATTTATTTTATCGAAAGTGATGAGGTCTGTGCTTCGAGATCACCAGTTGATTTGTATAGACTTGTACCTGACGGTTTGGAGGCAACCTTTCCTTATAGAAACCATTTTGAAAATATTTTTTAACAATACCTGTCACAAATGCTTCTGGTGAAAGTTCTTTTTCTGTACTGAAATAAGTTAAAATTATTTGCTATATACAATGAGTCAGGACCATTTGACACGTTCAGCAATATTGACAATTAAAAGTGCCTCTTTACAAACTATTACTTACGATGACTTAATTGACGATTTTGTTAAGAAAAAGTGTACAAAGAAAGCTATCAATACATATCTTTTTTCCAAATTGAATATGTTTCTTCAGAGGAAGTTAACTTTTTTCCATTCATGCATCATCAATACATTTTATTTTTACACATTTTGCATGTTAGCTTAATACAAATACAGTACAAGCTTTCATTTAGACCAGAGGTTGTCAAACTGTGCTCCGAGAACTCCATTGAGGTGGACCAAGGAAAGGTGGTTATGTTTGTTGTAATAAAGCATTCTCATCCAAAGCACTTTACAATAGTTAGCTCATGGTACAAACACTATTTGGAAAGATCATTAAGTGGCCCACCAAGACCCTCAGCAATTTTCAAGTGGTCTGTGGGGAAGAAAAGTTAAGATGACAAAAACATTCAAGGTACTTCACTTTATTTTCATTTATTTCTTATTACTTACTTGTGGGATGCGCCCCGTGCTTGTTATGCTTGGCAACCCCCCTCTCTCTGGCCGCTTTTGCAGCCAGCGAGTGTGTGAGCATGATGATGTCCTTCTGTCGCCTGTCAGGAAAAACTTGAGAGAGAGAGAGAGAGAGAAGGACAGGAAAAAGAATGAAAAATGGGAGGGGCCGAAATAATGAATATTTGTTTTTCTTGGCTGGGTCCCCAGGGGGCCAACAAAAATAAAGCTGTGAACACAGGGCCCCACTAACTCTAAATCCACTACTGTTTTCCAGGTAGCAGCAGAACTAAATTAACTGGATTCTTGTCCATTTCATAGCTGCTAACACTGTGTTGAAAAGCAAAATGGACCTTTTTTGTAGTTTAGTATAGCTATAAGCATCACAGCAGATGCAAACATTGGAGGAGTCCATAGACTTAGGAAGACACACCACGAGTTAACATTTTGAGAAAATGTTCTTCGGCCATAATGGCTAGAAGTTTATTCTTTAAAATGAAAGCTTTCATTCTGACTGACTGCATTGGTTGGTCCCCATGCTCACTCAAGTAGGTGGTGAATTCTCCATAGATGAGCAGATACATTTCTCCAAGCTCTGATTCTGGAAATCTTGAGACTGCATTCAGTATAGCAACATAAGGAAAAGCCAGCACAATGTGTAACTACTGAATTGTATGAGCTGCTAAACTGTTATATGAGCAATATTAAAGCAAGCATCTGCTACAGTTTCACATATTAATGCAATATAATTATGAACAGTACAGGAACATGGGGGGGGGGGTAAAGTTTGAGAACTACTGGAAAGGGAAACATGTTTAACAGTTAAATCTTTAAACATTAAGACTATTTCAAAAAGACTATTAGTCAACTTACCTTGATGCTAGTTGGAGGTAGAAATTCTGGGTATTTTGCTTCATGCACTGCTCTAAGCTATAGGCGGTAGAGTCTTTTAAAAAATGAGATGGGTATCCTGTCATCAGTGGGGCTGTACTGAGTTCCAGTTTGTTTAGCATTAAGTTCCTTAGTTCTCATTCTTCATTCCTATTACAAAATGGGAAGGAATTGTCTTGACACTATTCGTGCTCTAAATTCTTAAATGGTGGAAACCGTGAATAGAGCTAAAATCTTTATTCTAGCTCTTATTAATAAGAATGTATTTTTCTCTAATAGAAAACTGTAGCTTATTTGGATATTAAATTCAAAGTAAGTATTCTTTCATAACCACAAGTTTTTTGTAATGTGTACATAAATATGAAACATTCCCCCCCCCCTTGCAGCTAAATAAGACATTTTTCATTTTTTTAAAAAAATTTACTCATGGGGCAAATTAACTGAATTATACAGGAATATGTCCATCTCTCCTCTGTGGGAAAGTGCAGCTTATTTTTTACTTTAGTTGTGCAGCACTATATTTAGCTTACACATAGGACGATACCTCTTTAAAACTAACTAGTATTAAATGTGCTGTCCATTTTTTCAGAGGAATGCAGTATTCACACTATTACAGGTTCCAACCTTAAGTTGGTCAGTGTAGTTAAACAAGTTTGAATTTCAGAATTATAGGAAAAGTCTTTATTGTATGATCAAATGAATTTTAACTGCTTGAGAGGATGCAGTAGTCATATAGAAAGCTATTTTTCTCGCTGATGTTTAATGCGGTATTCTTTCTCCTCATTTTGATTATCTTTATGTTGGCAACTGTAGTCCTGTACTGTGGTAACACTGTTTTTTATTATGCAGGTTGGAGACCTCGTGAAAGTTACAAGAATGAATATAAATGGTCAGTGGGAAGGTGAAGTCAATGGCAGAAAAGGGCTCTTCCCTTTCACGCACGTCAAAATAATTGACCCTCAAAACCCAGATGAAAATGAGTGATTCCTGTTGCCCAGCTTACACTGCTGCTTCATTTTTCTGGTATTCGAGGTGGGGATGGTGCCTGTTAATGGCACACTGCTAGCACTGTCCATTTTTTTTTCTAGCTTGCTGCAGTTTGATGGTTCTTTTTATACCCATTTGGAATGCACACAACTGAAGTCATGTACTGACCATACCATAGTTGCATCATCCAGGCTGTAGCATCGCTTCTAGAACTATTTTGGCCCTTAAGATGGAGAAGACTTGAAGCCACACAGGTAGATAGGAGCAAGAAAATCTTTCCTTTTGAGGCTTTCAAGGATAGCATATTCTGGCCTAATCATTAGGAGGAGAGTTCTAACTCTCTCAGATCAAATATGAAACTTTTGCATCACTGTACAAACAGAGCAACAAGAAAAAACTGCAATTTGGGGCTGAAGGAGGGAAGAGCTAGATTTGAGCAATCCCAAGATAGTATAATCAAAAAGTCTTTTTTTAAGACAAATTGGACATTTTGAGCAGCTATTTTAACAAGGTTGTTTTTGCGATACAACTCTGAGCTTGCTGTTGACCTAGAAATAAAGCTTATGTGACGAAAGCAAATACCCATTGAAAATTGTGTTTAAGTGGAGACGATTATAAGAACTTTTGTTCACATGGTAAATGATAGCCCATTTTGTCATACATAAAACCAATTCTGCAGATGCTTACAGAGATAAAAGTTGCTGGATGACTTGCAAGCACTAGAACTGTAAAAAAGAGCTTTAAAAGGGAAACGCTTAAGCCTGGTCTTACAGACTTTTGTACTAGAACAGTTCTTAGGGAGGGATGTAGGGTTTGTTAGTTTTACTAGTGCAACCCAGTTTGAGGGAGAGAAGAGAGAGAAAGGTGCCTTATACTGACAACTTGTTCCTCTGTATAAATTATATTGGTATAATAGCATCCACACCGGGGGGGTCATACCACTTTAAAAGTTTAGTTATAGTTAAACAGAGCAAATTGTGTGAACCCACATTTGTGACCTCTTCTGCCTGCTTCTCAAGGTGAATTGAAACATCTTGAAATAAATACATGTGTAAAATTATTCTTTGTAATATTCCCGGGGACTTCATTTGTACCTTCTCTACAGAAGCTGACAGCTCTAAATAGCAGGATGTACTCTTATCCACTAGGTATTAAGGATTTCTTCAAGCATAGAAAAAGATGCAGAAATCCAAACTCTGCTTTCAGCATTTAGAGGAATATACTTGAAATATTAACACACAAGTATTTTTTTCATCTTATGTTGGAACATGTCTTCTTTTAAGGATGTTGGGCTGTTAAGCCCTGAGCACATGTTGCCCTGAACTATATTGAAGTGCCTTGAGATTCTTGTAGAGAAGGCACTGAAGAATGAAAAAAAAAAAGTTGCAGTGCTTATCGGTTAACACTATTGGCTACACACAATCCCCTCCCCCGCCCGCGTGGCTATTCAAGTAAATTTTTTTAGCGGGCTGTCTGATAGGCTGGCTCATGCTGGGTCCTGGCAGCAACCGCAGCAAGGGTAATTGCTGGGACCTGGCTCGAGCCAGGATTGAGCGCTTGCAATGCAAACCCTTATCAATTAATGGTGTAGTCCACAAAATTTTTGTTGACTACATGATTAACAAATTACACGCTTCTTAACATCACTAAGCTCAGTTAACCTATTAAATATTCTGTAGTGCTTATTAAATGGCTGAAAGTCGTCTTAAAGCATTTTACTGCCAAAAATATTGTGAAATAGAATAACATTGACTAAAAGTGTATGGTGCTATAGGAATGCCTGGCTGTGGGCAATGGAAACAGTTCTGCAGCTCTAGAAAGTAAGTGTCCTTGTAGATGTGTGTGTCCTGACCCTATCTTAAGTTATTATGAAGCTCATACTACTGAAAGTTATCTTGTACTTAAAAGTGCACTAAACTCATGCTACCATAAGGTTCTCTTTATTTTGGCCCTAACCTAGCTGTCAGTGTAGGGTTTTTCATTTTCTTTTAAAAATCCATAAACATATGATTTGGAAAATGTTATTTTTTAATCAAAAATAAGGATTTCCTTTAAAGCAGTCCTTCTTTGGCTATACTGTGTACCTGGAACGTTGTAAGCACTGTTCTGGGTTAAACTAATCTGGTGATCCCACAAAAAAGCAAACCATCTGTTGGCAAAAATCTTAGCTAGTGTCAGTACAAGAAAGCACGGCATTTACATAGTGATTTCTAATGCAGAGAACACCTAATAACTGTGAACCTAGTTTTGGACCACTTAAATGGCTCCCTGTGTCTAACAGTAAATGCCTCCTGAACTTGATGGTAAACTTGCATCAATATGTCTTTTATTTTATTATGAGATAAGTATTTTCATATAGAAACTGCATTTGATCAATTTGCGTTTCTCCTTTTTGAGGTCACTCATTGCTTGCAGTGCTTTCTGTTGCTTTAGAGAACGTTTTCAAAAATTCCTAGATGATCGATAACTGTCAGTGTTGCTGACACTTGAGAGTATAAAATATATTTAAAATGAGCCATAACACTTTATCATGTTATGGCTTCAATCTATGCACCATTAAGTGGATCATGTGTGTCATTTAATTTTTTGTAGATGTCTGGGTTCAAATTAGCAATTGTTTCGGTTGTTAAAGCAATCAAAAGTTTACTGCTCGACTTTTTTTCTATTGTGTACACATATATACATTGAAACCTCTGACCAGTATGAAAAGTTAAAATGAAAACTGATCTAATCTGTCTGCATCACTGGACAAGCACTAACTCAATTGTTTACAAATCAGGCAGGAATAAAGGGAATATATTCTGTTTGGGTTGGGGCTCTGAACATATTTTTTGTAAAGGGAAAAATGTATTTTGTGCCATTTCATGTGCCTGTAATCTAACTTTTTATATTAACATCCTGGGAATGTGGGCTTTTTGTTTATAGTAAAGTTTAGAAGCATCTCTGTGCAATTGAAAAAGTGAGACCTGCCTAAAAAGATGGCCTTTTGGGACCAGTAGATGTGTTCCTGTATAGTTGTAATTTTCTGTGTACTTGTATTTTAAAAGAAAACATGTTCTGAGAGAAGAAATTTTTTGCAGCAAGAAAGGTGTCCTTCTTTTGAGGGTACATCTAGACTACAGAGCTTTTCCGGGATATCTCTGGTATCCTGGAAAAGCTCTGCTGCATCCAAGGAACATGTTTCCGAAAAAAAATTCGGAAAAGCAGACGTGGTTTTTTCAACATCCCTGTAAACCTCGTTCTATGAGGAAGAAGGGATGTTCCAAAACAGGTTTTTTTCTGACGTTTGGCCCCGTGTAGACAGGCTAAACGTCAGAAAAGCCTCTTCGGACGAAAAGCAGGAAAATTTGCGTATCTTTTTCTGACTTTTCTTTGTAGTGTAGAGACAGCCTTCACTGTGTTTTGAGGATCATAGCTTGTTTTATTTTTTGTGCTATAACATTAACAGTATTAAATGAATTTTATTCTTAGAATAGATGGAGTGTCTTTTTAAGACTAGTGCCTTTTTATTTTCTTACTCCACTCCTTTCGTAATACTGGTCCCAACATCAAGCCAGTGTTATTAGTGCCCTGTTTGTATAGTCTGAATAAAAAACCTTGTTACGTTATTTGTGGTCTGTACAGCTTTCTCCAATATCATTAGCAGAGTCTTTATTCTGCCATCACTCACAGCATGTAAGTTACAGTAGTGATCTTGGCCCTTCCCTTGCTGAAGTTTTCCAAGTATAACTATTGTCCCCGCTAGAGGTGAGAAACTGTTCATTTGCTTCTCTCCATCCTTATGCTCCCACCCTCCCAACATGAAATACTGCTAAGTGAAGAAGGTTGCTCTGATCATTGCATTCACCTGTAGATCACGGGATAGGCTATTGATATACAGCAGAAACAGACTAAAGATTAGATGCAGTGTAATTCCTGTCTGAACTTAATTAAGCTATTCTTGCTGGGGTGGGGGGAGCTCTACTATTGTATTTTCTTCACTTAAAGTGTTCAGTTTCCTGCGCATGGGCTAAGGCAGGGGTTGGCAGCCTATGACTTGCAAGCCAAATATGGCTTTTATGACCATATTTGGCTGCCCTGTGTGCTGGAGCTGGAGCCAGGGCTGTGATGCAGCTGCTTCTGTGGCAGCCTGGCCAACAAGGCCTCAACTGGGGCCCAGCCCTCATCTGGCTGCAGCGTCCTGTCCTGGGGCAGGCCTTGCGGTCCAGCCCCCATCTGGCCACAGGAAGGGCTGGCGGCTGTCCTCCCCTTCTGCTGTGGCACAGGTAGGAGGGGGAGAGGTGGGGAACAGGCCCCGCAGTCCAGTCCCCATCTGGCTGCAGGAAGGGCTGGGCCAACAAGGCCTCAACTGGGGCCCAGCCCTCATCTGGCTGCAGCGTCCTGTCCTGGGGCAGGCCTTGCGGTCCAGCCCCCATCTGGCCACAGGAAGGGCTGGCGGCTGTCCTCCCCTTCTGCTGTGGCACAGGTAGGAGGGGGAGAGGTGGGGAACAGGCCCCGCAGTCCAGTCCCCATCTGGCTGCAGGAAGGGCTGGTGGCACCCCTTCCTCCGCCCCACTGTTGCACAGGTAGGAGGGGAGGCCATGATCCTGCTGCGGTGATATTGGGCCGGCCCCTTGTTCAGCTACTGCTGCCTGCGTGCAGCATCCCAGCCCTAGCCAGGTAAGATAATCTGGTCCCGGGGCCCTCCACATATTCTATTTCACACCCCCAGTACCTTGCCCTGCCTCCTGCACCTCCCACACAACCCAACCCCCTGCCCTGAGACCCTCCTGTACCCCCACATCCCCAGCCCCCTGCTGTAAGATTGACAGAAGACAGCCTGAATGCATGCATGAAGCTGGATTTGACCAGTTTAGCATAAACTTCAAAGAAATGTGTGAAAAGATGCAGAAGTCCCATTAAATAGGCTGAGTGTACAGTTTAATTTATGCTATTTGGAAGCCTATAGGGCTTGGGGAGGGGCACCTCCCCCTTGGGCTCAGTGGGCAGCCACTCCACCCTACTACCCTCTGCTTAGTCCCCTGGGGAATTAACTAGGGGTTTGGCTTTTCAGGGCCAGCGGCAGGCCAATAAACAGTCCGGAGCTCAGGCTCATGTTCAGGGCTGGGCGGCAAACAGGTAAACAGTTCTGCACGCAGGCCCTTAGTTCAGGACAGGGCACAGTTCAGAGCCCCCCACCAAGCTTCAGGGCAGGGCGGTGAGTAAATAGTTCAGAAGCCAACCCTTGCTCAGGGTGTGGCAGCAAACAAATAAGCAGTTCAGAGCCCCAAGCCTTGGTTCAGGTTAAGGCAGCAAAACAAACAGTTGAACAGTCTTAGGTAAACAGTTCTGCACGCAGGCCCTTAGTTCAGGACAGGGCACAGTTCAGAGCCCCCCACCAAGCTTCAGGGCAGGGCGGTGAGTAAATAGTTCAGAAGCCAACCCTTGCTCAGGGTGTGGCAGCAAACAAATAAGCAGTTCAGAGCCCCAAGCCTTGGTTCAGGTTAAGGCAGCAAAACAAACAGTTGAACAGTCTTAAT